GCTCAAACTTGACAGGAATTGGAAAGAGGACAGTTCTAATTGCACAAAAGCAGTAGAACCATAAGCCCTAGATTTTGAAAATAGCGGAGAAAAGAGGAAGCCACTTACCGGCTGAAGGACGTAAAACCAATAGGATGGTTTTGAAGCTCTCTACGAGACGGTCGCTAGGGTACCATCTAACAGAACATGCAATGGCTAAATCAGTGTGGAGGCTAGAGAGAAGGCAAAAAAGAATTTGGGAGAAGAGGTTTTAGAGAGAGAAAGGAGAATTGACAAATGAACTTCAGCTTTTTCTTTTTAGGATAGCCCCCTTACCAAGGTCATGAGTCCAAATTGCTAAAGGTCTGGCTGCCACAATTAAGGTCCAATAGCCCTGGATCCAAATTTTTAGGTCCTTACATAGATAATTTCTTATTATGAATAAATATTTAAATTTGAAAAATAATTACTAAAATATAAAAGAGTAAATATTTTTTTTATAATAAATAATGATTTGAATTTTAAAAAATATTTATTAAATAATAAAACTAAAAGATAAATATTTTATTATAAGTAATTATTTAAATTTTAAAAATAATAATAAAAGAATAAAATTAAAAAAAATAAAAAATACTGTCCTCCTCGGAGATAATGTGTTGTTGACAAGTTTAATGATAAAATAACAATAATGTTGTTGTGAGAGATATTAATATCATATCATATATTCATATTCATCTCACCACGAGATTCTGGTTCTGTTTTGGCCACCCACACAACACCACCACATTCTCCCAACTCGCTCCGAGTTGACTCACTCTTTCCCTTTCAAGATCAATAGCTGCCAACCCAGCCTCCGCGCTCCACTGTCACTGCAACCACCGCCACCCTTCTACGTCAATGCAAAACTCCTCGTCGATTCTCTCCGGAACCTTCTCCTCCTCTTCCTTCCCCTCCGGCCTTTGACTTTTGCTTTCGAGCGAATCCGATGAGTCCCTTTCGATCTCTTCTGCTCTCCGTCGTCGTATTCTTACTCCTCTGCCCCCTCGACGCCACCGAGGGCGACGCCGATCCACTATACATGTTAGTCTCTCTCTTGATATCCATTTATCTATCTCTATCTATAGTTAGAGTTAGAGAATCCCGGATTTCAATTTTTGAATCTAAGCGTTTGATTAAGTGCTAGGGACGCAAAGAAATATGGGATTGATTTTTCAATGTTTTAGGTATAGTAAAAATTGGAACTTGGATTTTCTGTCGTCTTTCTGTCGTTTTTCTGTTAAGAAGGGGAATACCAACCGGACACCGAAAAATGGGGGGTGTATGGGTGAAGAGAATAAAGAAGGTATAGAGAGAACAAATAAAGGAAGAGAGAGAAAGTGATAACTATGTTATATATATGTTGCGATTAGAAATGAAAATGAAAAAGAAATGAGGTGAAAGGACATGAACGAGAAAGTATATGTATTCTGATAATAATAATCTGTTGAGAAATGTTTTGGGGTGGAGTTGGAAATTTTAAGGGGATGTTATTTGTGTGTTGTGGTTAGATTTGTCTGACTGTAGGATTTTCGGGTTTTGCATAGATGCATTGAATGATGAAGATGCACTTCTTTTACTTGGTTTGTTGTCATTTGTCAAGCATGGAGGGTATAGATGTGAGATTAGACGTTTCTGAGGTTATGTTATCTTATGTTACATGATTAGTTTTTTGGTTGTTTTTCTGAGTTCCATTTGTTTCTTTAATTACCTTTGATAGTTTGTGGAAGTTCCACTGCTTAGCGGGTGTAATGGGAAATATTGTCGTGTTGTTCAGGCTTAGAATGCGAATTATGGGTTATTTTCTTTTTTTGGCAAATGCCAGGGAGTGACATAGGATGATGAGTAATAAAACAAAAATAGAAATTATTTCATGAAAAGGGAAATATCTTATACTAAAAATGAAAAACAAAATCCATTTAGTACTTGTGCTTTTTAGGTAATTGAAAGTGTCCGGCAAGTTGTATTAAAGTTTCTTTTCACTAATGTCCTAACATGTTAGTAGAAGCTGTAGAACCCTCTATTTTACTTGTTGGAGAATTTTAGATGGTGATATCTGTATTCTGTGCTAACCAAGAGGTGCCTTATTTTGGCTTGGAATGAATGACATTAATTATTATTTGTATTTTAAGGAGAATGCTAACAAGTGACCTGATAGCACTGGTACTTAGTTAAGTATTAATAAGTAGAATTTATTTTGTATAAGTGTAAAACTATTCTCAGTATGAACCTTTTATTTATTGATTTCTTCACCATTAGGTCACTCATTTGTTTAAACTAGACAAATTTTCAAAATTGAGCTTGGCTTTGGCAAAAATCTGAAGATTAGGCCTGACTTATTTAACTCGTGTATGGCTTGATTATTTTTATGATTGAAACTTAGCTAAAAGATGAAATAAATTCGTATTAAACTATAATTTTATATTTGTGGAGGTGTCTTGGTGACATGTTGGTCACGGGCTTGAGTCCAGAAATAGTCTCTTTTCATATTATACAAGTTGAAGACTATTTACATTATCCTCCCTCACCTTTTTGGAGCGAGGAGCCTTTGGCACTGGTATATTAGTTGTTAGTAGTAGTATTCATAAAGATGACATAAGATTAAAAGGGAAATCTTTGATGACGGAATGGTGAATTTTAAGAGAACTTGTGGTCATCCATTTAAAATACGACTATTTAAAATTGAAAATAGGTAAATGGTATGTACCGGATATATAACAAAAATGAGAGCAAGAGAAAAGTAGACAAAGCGGCTAGATATTGCCAGAGAGTCACTGGAGGGTCGCACAGGGTCATGCAGTACTTGCAAGTGAGGCATGATAGTACTTTAAAAGGTTTTTCTACAACCTGAAACCCTTTTTATCCAAATCCCAAAATTACCTCCGTAATGAGTGCCCTTCTAATGTTAATATATTGGAGGGCTTCTTCACAAAATTTGACAGCATCAGCAAAGCGGGCTATAGTGCCACAGAGTGGTTGTTATGCCGATACAGCACACTATTTTATATAAGGATTAATCTCACATTTCAACTGCATATGTCCTAATAAACAACATCTTTGAGATCACTGCAATAAGTAAGCTTGTATATTCCGAAGTTATGGCAACTGATTTTTAACTTTTGTTAGACGTTTAGTTGGGTTTCATACTTGTTTTCATTTTGAACAAGTCTTATAGCTCAAAACTTAAACTGATAGAATCTTATTCTTTTCATTATATTCTACAGACTTTTATATATTCATAGTGCCCGTGTTCAGTTTAATCTACTCTCACATTTATGCTTTCATGAAGGAATTTGAAAATCTAGTTAGAGATATGCATTGTAATAATAAGAAAATGGCGACACTTAAATATAGTCACTTGTCAGTAGTAATTAAATAATAAGCAGAATGATAGATGCAAAAAACTATATGTATTTTGCTGATTGATCTAGCATTGACTTGTATGGTAAAATATTTACTTCTGGTTTTATGTACTTTCCATGTTAAATAACAGTACAATAGTCATCCTTTGCTCTATTTTTGACTTGCCTGCCATATGATCTATTTTGGCTGTGCCTATTAAATTGCAGAGATTGTGTGGAGCTGTGTAAGAAAACTGGATGTGTAGGGGATAGATGCTTTCAACATTGTAAATTCTCATCAGATGGAAAACCAATTGATGGTCCATGGTATATGCATGAACCCCTCTACCTGAGGTGGAAACAATGGGACTGTTGCACTGACTGTAGCTATTACTGTATGCTAGCTAGAGAGGAAGAAAGAACAAAACTTGGTGACAAGCCCGTCAAGTATCATGGAAAATGGCCATTCAGGCGTGTTTATGGAATTCAGGTTCCTTCATGAATCTCTAACGCAAGGTTTAATGATAATATTGATAACATTGTTTCAGTTTTTGATTGTGGTGCGGATATGCTATGCATGATTTCAGGAACCTGTTGCTGTTGCTTTGTCTGCTGTCAATCTTGCCGTTCAATTTCATGGTTGGGTATCCTTTTTCATTCTTGTGTACTATAAGTTGCCTTTGAGGCCAGATAAGAAGACTTACTATGAGTACACTGGATTGTGGCATATTTATGGGATTCTATCCATGAATTCATGGTTGTGGAGTGCTGTTTTTCATAGTAGGTAAGTTGTTTGAATGATTTCCTTTTGGGTTTGTGCTGTATTTATAAAATCATGATTCAGTGCTATTGAAGCAATAATCCTCAAAAGCACAGTTGTTTCCGGCACTGTGCCTTATTATTGATTTCCAGGCACTCCTGTGTATGTATTTGGTGTAGTGACATAAAAATTGGCCTTTCATGCTACAATGATCTAAATTCATTATATATATATATATATATATATATATATATATATATATATATATATATATGTATATATGAGTAAACCCCCAGTTTAGTCCCTGAAATTGTAAGCATTGGCCAATTGATTGAAAAAAGAAACATTTCCTTTAATCCTTTTTTTCTCCACATTTTTTACTGACAATAAGAACTAACCTGTAAAGGTCAGGGACTAAAGTGACCAACATTTAAAATCTAAGGGATTAATCTGGATAACTTTTCTAATATATGTTCAGCATCACAAGGTTTATATATTTTTATATGAAGCAGTTATGCATAAACTATGGCTAGCGTATTCTAAATATAATGCACAATCACTGCCCAGAATCACTAAGTGATTTCTTTCAACAGGTAAAAGATAAAGAAATAGACTCTGATTTCTTATGTATTAATACTGCCATTTTACTGCTTATTTGTTCAGACATTAGTTTATAATAAAGAGGATTGGATGTGCTGTAATTATAATTTAACCTTTTTCTTTTTCTAATTTTGACTTTTGGCATGTATTTCTACCTTCATTATCTGTAGAGCCGTGGAATTAACAGAGAAGTTGGATCTTTCTTCCGCTGTGGCCTTACTTGGATTCTCTCTAATTCTAACAATACTGCGATGTTTTAACGTGAGGGATGAGGCTACACGAGTCATGATTTCTGCTCCCTTGCTTGCTTTTGTGACAACTCATATCATGTATCTGAATTTCTATGAGCTTGCTTATGGTAATCTTTTATCTTTAACGCAGTGCTTTCTTTTACACATCTTATAATATTTATGTTCCCAACAGGAGTCACGCTTCATACTTCCTTGATTGTTTTTGTGACCACATGTATCCTTAACCTGAATTTCATGTGTTTTTAGCAATGTTGAATGGAGATGGAAGATGCATTTCCTTTTCACATTCATTCAAACTCTGTTTGCCTAAAATTTTCATAAACACTATAAAATAAAGTGATTTTCTTCTACAAGTCAATCAATTTGTAAGTGATATTGAAAAGTCTATCCAAACAAGAATTTACTAAAAATCCAAAGTCTATGGTAATGATGCTGCATTGTTATGGGGACTTGAGCTGATGTGTTGACTTCTTCACCCAGGTTTGAACAGGATAGTTTGCATGGGAATGGTTGTTGTCCAGCTTCTTATTTGGGCCATTTGGGCCGGCGCTTCAAACCATCTGGCACGATGGAAGTTGTGGACAGTGGTGGTTGGAGGTGGCTTGGCTATGGTGTTGGAAACATATGACTTCCCACCTTACATGGGATATGTGGATGCTCATGCTCTATGGCATGCAACAAGCATTCCTCTCACATTTCTTTGGTGGAGTTTTGTGAGGGATGATGCTGAGTTTAGAACCTCAGCTATGCTTAAGAAGGTAAAATAGTGCTGATGACACAACTTGGCAGAGGTTGGATCAGATGAAGAACATGTCACATGCTCTGCTACCTGCATACTTTGATTTTGTACATCAGAACTTTTTTTCTATTTTCCTCGTGCATGCGTTTATTTGAAATGCTTAACACGATGGTTTCTGTGCCTTTGATCATGTAACATTTTGTTTTCTTGTATGAGACATACTTTCTTAGTGGAATTTTAATTCATTTGCAATGCTTTATGTACCTGTTCAACACACTAGAAAGAAGATAAAGTAAAATCAAGATTACAATTTTGCAACTAAAAATGAAAATAAAAAGTTGTGTTAAAATTTAACAGCTGACGGTTACACTAAAAAAATAATGGGTGGATTATAACATGCTTTTGAAAGATTTGAGTAATTTATAATTATGATGTTTTGTACTGGTGAAATATATGTATACATTTAAGTAATTTATTTTCATCTTTCTTTTATTTTTAAAGTTTTTAAAATATAATTAAAAATAAAATAGGAATACTTGTTATATATTTATTATAAATAAATAATAGGGTATGTATATATACTTTACATTTTTAATTTTATAAGTTATAATTCAATTTAATATAAATAATTTTATTTAAAAATATTTTAATTTTGAAAACTAATCTGATTTAACAATTTAGTATTTTTAAAAAGTTATTCTTTTATATAATTTATTTCAGTTAAAGTTCAAACAGCCTATAGTAAGAATGATTTATGTACAGTTTTTTGTTACCAACAAAAATTTTTCTTCTGGGTTTGGCTGCTGAATATGAACCACATATTTTATTCATTACTTTTACTTTTCGTGTCTCTAGATTTTCCTCCCTCCTTAATTATTTTTAAATATTCATTTTGTCCTTTTGATTTATAACTCATGCCGTCTCCAAAATCTTTATAGTTGCACTGATTTCTATTAGTATCTTGTGAGTTCTTGCACTTTCTGATAAGAAAAAACAAATCTTTTCGAATTATGTTATCCAGAAGATGACACCTTTATCCTTTTAAGTTGTTTGATTTATAATACTATTTTGAATTTTTTAAGTTTGATTAATAATACTATTTTGAATTGAACAATATCAAAATATTATGAATCAATCAAACTAAGAAAAAGAAAAACAAACCAAGATCTCTATAATATATAGTTTGTTTTGGATTAAATTCTCACGAATTTATTTTTAATATCATTTTTAACATATTTTTCATTAATAGATTTATTTTATATATAAATTTATCTTCATTTTTATATTTATTTTATTTTATCTGAAATTTTGTTTGTATCTTACCCGT